GGTGGGGGGGTGCTGTGTGCTCTGCCTGGGGTGCTGGCTGGGGGTGCCTCCTTCTCCACCTCCTGGCTTGCCTCCGACTGCGTCCTTGCTCCTGGCCGCAGCTCACCTTCAAAGGCTGCAGCCTACTTGCATGAGTGATCTGCAAGACCTTCGCCAAGATCTACAGGCTTTGACTGCAGCTATTGGTGAGCTTACCTTGGCGACGCGTGAGCTGGTCACTGAGAGGAGCGGCAGCCCAGGCGCAGGCCTGGCGGCCGAGGAGCGATTTGCTTCGTCGGTTGGCGGCTCGAAGCAGTGGGAGCTGCTGCAGGATAGCACCTCCATTCCGGGCTCTCCAGCAGATTTCCTACAGCGGCCAGTTGTTGTGAAGTTTGAGTTGGGTCCTCCAGAGACTCCCGATTTCTGCATCCAGCTGGCATCTGTCATCATCCAAGGTTTCCTCCGGGGCCTCCCTAGACCGTGCACGAGAGGCCTTCAAGGCAGGTTTTTGGGTGCGAGCGTTTTGGACGTGCAATACACCGTACTCCTCGATTGGCCCCTCGCACGTGTTTGAAGTGGATATGATTTTGGAGGATGAATTCGCAGGTGCCTCCTATGCCGCTGGTTTCAAGAGCGACATACTAGTGGTTGACTTTTCAGATGATGTCTTGAACTACCTCAGGGAGTACGATCCGGTGACAGACTCAACAGAGGTAGTTCATGGGTTTCATGACGTACATACACAAGCCATCCCTTCGCCTAGTGACCTGCTGGCTATGGTTTTGAGCTGGGCTGAGAGTGAAGTTTTGCCTTGTGTTCAATTTTACAGTGCTCGAGAAGAGCCACGTGTCAAGACGCCTCAGACTCCGAAGAAGGCGCCGGCAAAACGCCTTACCAACGCAGCCCTAGCAGTACAAGTTTCTCAGCTATCCGCCCAAGTTTCCCTGCTAGTGGCTCAGCAGAGCAAGGCAGTCCAGAACGCCGGGAACCCCCAGGTAGTGGGCCTTACCAATGCCGCTCGTGTAACCGAGCCCGGCGTCCTGGCCCCTACCGGCCCCGTGCCAAAGATGCCTCCGGTGTCCCAAGGACTGCAGGCTCCAGGACCTCCGCGTGCACCGGCGATAGCTCTACAGCTGCTGGGGCCTCCGCCCAAGACCAGAACTTCTCCCTTGACCTCTGGACCTGGCCTATTCGAAGAGCCCTATGATCCTATTCAAGCTCCTCCAAATACACCGGAACAAATATTGTCACAGCAGTCCGTGGCTTTGAATGCTTTGGTCTCCCACCTCATCCAAGGAGGAGATTCCATTGGCCTAGATTTGCCAAGTGGTGGAGCGAGCTCGAGTTCTACGAGGGGGACTGCCAAAAGAGAGAAGCTTCAACAGGACCTGGCTGCTCGGCAATCCACGTTCTTTATGGCTTTACAGCAGCAGATCTTCAGACGACTCCATCCATCGACGGTGATACCTCGCACAGAGGAGGAGCTACAGAAGAGAAGCCCATCTCTTTTGACTTATCTGGAGCGCTATGGAGGTTTCAAAGGGGAGAGAGAAGCTGGGCTGACCATGTGGGTGTTTGCTCATGCGCTAGATGCCGCAGCTGCCGGAGACTTTTATGCTACAAAAGAGTATTTGGCTTTGGGCGTTATGGCAGTTGAGCAGAGTGCTTTTGATGCCGGGGACTGGGGCCTTGCCTACGTTCTGCCGTTGATAGAGGATCCTCCGCAGGTGTTGTTCCAGGATCGGATGCAATCCATCACGTCCGCTGGAAGGCCTTTTGCGCATTTGATCCCGCCTCAACTTGCGTCCATCAACCTGGCCTATCTCAAGGAGATTGATATTCTTCAGACTCGCAGGCAGGAGACTAAGTCAAAGAAGAACCAGTCGGGAGCTCAGGAGACCGAGGAAAACTCTCCCAGCCCGAAGCGGAGACCAAAATTCCCCAAGAAGCCCAAGGGCGGGGGGGACAGTCAGCAGTGAGGGTCGTGACGACCATGAAAGAATTCAATTCCAAGGCAGCATATCTTGGGTTGCGTGTGGCTTTGGTGGTGGCTTTAGGTGGATGCTGGAAGGGCTCTTCATTGGGTTTGAACGGCAACCATCGAGGCCTCCATGCTCCCCCTTGTGTACCTGGGGCTGGCTTTGGGGTTGTGATGATCCCCGGAGTCCGCCCAAGGTCGGGTTGAGCGGCCGCTTGAAGGATGACATCAGAAAGCTAGCTTCCCAAGGTGGCGTTCCAGGCTGGTGACTATGGTGTTGCTCACACGTACAGCCTTTGCTTCAATTTTGTATGTCTCCATTCGTTAGTTCGCAGTCCCATATTGAGGATGAAATCTACACCGACCCTATTCCCTGTCCTTGCACCTTCCGAGTGGTGCTCTGATAGGATGCGTGCTGAGATCTACGTGGCAATGAGGCTTTCGCTGCGCCGGCCCTGGGCTATTCATGCTTGTATGGCCTTGAACTTTTGGCATTGGAGTGGGTCTTTTTGCAAAGCAGATTGTTGCAGAGAAGCTTCAGTCCTTTCTAGGAGGATCATAGCTTTGTCAGGTCGGACGGCCTCAGGGTGATTTTTGATACATTGCCAGTGGGCCGATTGTTTCCAGAATTATTGCATGTTCGAGTGGGTTGGCGCAGCTCCGACATAGCAGGGGTGGACTTCGTTGCCCTACTCAAAAACTTTGCTGGTTTTGACGTTCCCAAAGACAACAGCGCTATCCCAAAACTGGAACCTATCGTGACCTCGTCCCACATCTCTTGTCCCTGACCGGTCAAGATTGGGGACGTCCCGGAATTCCAGCGCGATATGTTGATGACCTACCGGGACCCAGAAAGACTTCGCGCCGCCAGGTGCCTTCCTCCTGGAACTACCCAGGTCTGAGAGTTCTGAGC